CAATAATCTTCCTTTAAAATTTGGAAAAACTGACCACCAATTCCATATGGAGAGGGAAGAAGAAGCTCAGTATTAGCAGAGAACTCCTCAAGAAGAAGGACAAGTTGGAGGGTTCGCCTTACCTGTCTTTAACATCCACCTACAGTGGTCAAAAGAGCATGGTACTGGAATAATGACAGATACGCGGGCTAATGGAAAAGAACAGAAAACCAAGAAATAAAACCACCAGCATATAGACAACTGATCTTTGACAAGGGCCAACAGTGCATCAAGTGGGAGTTGGATGCTCTTCTATCAAGTGGTGCTGGAAACAATGGATATCCACCTGCAGAAAAATGAAACAAGACCCTTAACTCACCCCATGCACAAGAACAAACTCAAGGTGGATCACAGACCTAGAAGTAAAACCCCAAGGTATCAGGACCATCAATGAAGAAACCAGGACAAAGCTAACAACCCTGGTGCAGGGAATACATAGGCTAACTGTAATAGGGAAGGGTGCACATACAAATAGCGCTGAAGTTGTCAAAGGGTATATACAAAGAATAAAACACCTGTATGCATTGAAAGACTTCATCAAGAGAGTAAAAAGAAAACCCACAGACTGGGAGAGGAATTTTATCAATGATACAACAAAGGGCTTATTAATAAAATTTACAATACCCTCCTAGCCTGCATAAAGAAGAAAACAGTTAACCCCCTGAGGAAGTGGGCAAAAGAGCTGAACAGAAGTTTCACTAGGGAGGAGACCTGAATGGGCAAAAAACATATGAGAAAATATTCTTGATCATTAGCCCTCAGAGAAATCCAAATAAAAACAACTGTGAGATAACACCTAACACCCTAGCCAAATCAGAAAATCAGAGAGCAACAAATGTTGGAAGGGATGTAGTGCAATAGGAACACTCCTCTACTGCTGGTGGTAGTGTAGATACATAAAGCCACTGTGGAAAACTATCTGGTGATATTTAAAACAAATGGAAATTGAGTTGTCTTAAGACCCAACAATCCCTCTACTGGGCTTATACCCAGAAGAGAAAAGAAATAAACCAAGACCAGACACCTGTGCTCCAATGTTTACTGTGGCTCAATTCACAATCTCAAAGAATTGGAAACAACCTAAATTTTCATTGATAGTTGAGTTGATTAGTAACTCTGGCACATACAAACCATGCAGCATTATGCATCACTAAAAAGCACTGATGACTGTGTGAAGCACATCTTCTCATGGGAAGAGTTAGAGGAATGATGCTAAGCAAAATCAGCCAATCACAAAAGGACAAGTACAACGTGAGTCCACGGAGGTAAGTATAATCAGCACTACAGTAGGTATAGAAGAAAAACCACTTATCTCACACTTTATGGGCTGAGGTACAGGCAATTGGGCCAGGGATAAACCAAAACGATGTCATTCCAACACAAAGAAAGATAAGAGGGTGTGGTGAGGTGGAGAGTGAAAAGGGAGAAAAAAAATAAGAGAGACAATGGCACCAGGGGAAGAGGGCCTTAATCCACCCAGACAGAGGGTATTTATGTCTCCACAGAAATGGGCGTGTGACTGCAGACCCCACCACAGTGCACCAAACCTTGAGGGTAACATAGCCACATGGAGAAACCCATGAACTGAGAGGTCGACAGGGCCAGCCCCAATCAGAGCCAAACTGACTCCAGCCCCAGCCCCTCCCCAACACCACCCCACTGCCTAGAAGTATGTGCTACAGAGGACAACACTAAATCTACAGGTTGGGGAGAGGGGCCAGCCTGCCACTTCCATATAGAAGTAAACCAAGAAGAATGAGAGCGAAGGACTAGACTCTGTGCTGCCACGCCAAGCCCTGAGGATGGCATCCCTGCAAGGAGCTGCTAAGGCACAGAGAGGACTGTAGGGCCTACAAGAACCCGACAGGATATACCCTCACAGGAGTATACGGCGATAGAGGACAAAACTGGAGAGCGTGTCTGGTCTGATCACCCCCAACAGAGGATGAACCAAGAAGGGAACATAACAGATCAGTAATGGGAACAAAGAAAAGACACAAAACCCCTGTGGAGCTCCCAAAATTGACTTCAGAATAGGAGGGACAGTTCCTGGAACCCCCAGGACCGGTGGGAAAGATAGTCATTAAGGTCAGTGGACAGATCTGGAATTATGTATGCATTTTTTGCCAGTTATTTTTCCCCCTTTTTATTCAATCTTTTGTTTTCTTTTTGTTTTGTCTCTGCAATTGTTGGTATGCCTACCTATATAAGTATGGGAATCAAGTCTGAGGAGAAAGCAATGGCTACCGAGGGATTTGGGGGGAGGATGAGACAGGAGAAGGGAGTAGTAAGCAAACAACACTATAGACAGGGGAACCACTAGGGAATTAAAATCAATAAAGAGGAGGACATAGAGATCCTGGAATAGGGGTAGAGCAGCAATCTAGCTGAGAGGAATTATTAAGAGGGAAAAAAGGGTGAGAATGATAGTGGGGCAGGAGGAAGGTAGAAGGCAACAGAGGAAAGATCTAGGAAGCAAAGCTATGGGTAGAGGTATAAACATAGGTGTGTACATATGTGAATATATTAATTCATAAAAATAGATGTATCAGATTACGTATATGTATTTATATGGCAATACACTGAGGAAGTAGATGGACTTTGGGCCTCTGCTAAAGTCCTCCCTCAAAGCAAGGACACTTTCCTCTAATAACCAGGCATTCCTTGATGCTCACCTTCCCAGCACAATCACTGAGGACAAAATGGGTGCATAAGCAAATGTGGTGAAGAAATCTGCTGGTACCGGGTTATCAAAAGATATAGAGCATCTGGGATCTTAAAGGCTTGAACTACCGGCAGTGTTCTGTTTCCATTAATGAATCCTTCAGTGTCTGACAATGTTTCACAGCTATGCATAAGATTTTCAGAGTATAATTTCTCTAAAGTGGGTAGCTGAGTTATTTTTAAGTAATCTGTTCTTTTTCTGGGTGACCCAGCTGACATTTGAAATATCATTGACATAGCTTCCAGCAACACAGCAACACACAAAACACCACAGTATGAAAAACTGATAGACAATTAGTGGAGAGATTAAACTCTTTTTCTTCAATAGTTCAGAAGGTTTAATACAATTGTCTTAAAATCAAAATTTCCAGCTTCCAATTCATTAACTTTTCTTTAAGTATTATCATTTATTCTGATGTGTTGTCCCCAGAGGTTGGGGTTATAATTACCAAAGGCAGCGTTTGCTTTTCTAGCCTTCTCATGGGTCCTATGGATTTTCTGCCTCAAGAGACCTGAGTTCTTTCCTGGCATAGGTACTGTGTTAGTCCGGGTAGACTAGAGAAACAAATTCGTAGACACTCATGTGTATAAGAGAAAGATTTACATATAAGAGCAATTGAATATTGAGAAAACATCCCAGCCCAGTCCAGATCAAGTCCATAAGTGCAATATTAGCCCAAATGTCCAATACCGATCTATAAAGTTCTCTACTGACTCACGAAACATATGCAATTATGCTAAATGCAGGAAAATCACAAGCCAGTGGGTGGGAAATCTTGGGAATCCAGTGGTGTTGTAAGCATCTCAGAGCTGGCAGGCATCACCACATGGTTTCTGTGGCTCCAGAGGTCTGGCTCCATCAGCTTTTCTCCATGTATCTTCTCCACAGGGATATCTCACAGGGAGTGAGCAGAGAGAGAGATGGTGTCTTCCACCTCCAAGGAGGAAATACAGGCGTTCCCAGAATCCTCAGGAGAAGGTTATGCCCACACAGAGGCCTCATTGGCTACATCCTGAGGCTAGACTCCATCCTTACACTCTTAATTGACACCATACTATGTAACTACCAGAGCTACAGATGATGGTTATGAGAATGTACCACACAGAATTCCAAATACTGGGAAAATAATTGACTGAAGATCTAAGTCAGTGGTTGTCAACCTTCCTAATGCCATGACCCTCTAATACAGTTCTCATGCTGTCGTGACCCCCAAACCAAAAAATTATTTTCCTTGCTACTTCATAACTGTAATTTTGCTACTATTATGAATCAGGCGACCCCTGTGAAAGGGTCGTTCAACCCCCCAAAGGGGTCGTGACCCACAGGTTGAGAACCATTGATCTAAGTTATCTTGATTGGCCAGTTCAAGACATTGGAAAATGGTGCTCATGTGAGAGTTAAAAGATAGTGACATGTAAGTATTGACTTTAATAGGTTAAAAAATATTAATATGAATCATGTTTAAACAATAAAACTTAAAACACAAATAAGTGACAAGTATGTGAATAAGCAATATATAGTGATTAATAATGATGAAAATGTCTACAGTAACAATAAACATTATAACCACACAGTACTCATATGATTTTGGAGGTGATATAAGGTGGTTTACTCATTGGGCTGCTGCCCGCAAGGTCAGCAGTTGAAAATCACCAACTATTCCACAGGAGGACAAGACTCTCTGCTCCTATAAAGAGGTGCAGTCTCAGAACCCCAGAGGGGCAGTTCTGCTGTCCTAAAGGGTTGTTAGCGGTTAGAATTATTTCAATGGCAGTGAGTTTGAGGGTATTTTTTCTGTTTTTGAAGATAGACAGTTCTTTCACAATAAATAAGATAAATAAAAGCCTTCCATTTGTCAGAGAAAGTTGACTGAAACTGTCCTTGTGTATAACCAAGCAGCTGATTTTGTCAAGGATTTTCCTGATTTTTTTTTTGCAAAAAACCCCCCATGTTTCAGAAAACTCAGGAATTTAGTCACCTTATTGTCTCCTGAGTAAAAAAACCTTTGCCATTGTTAAAAAAAATTATATTTTCAATGACTTGGTCAAGAAAGTAACCCAAATTACATTACATAACATATATACACATACACACATACATACATATATACACATGCACATATATCCATATACATACTCAGTATTCGCTCACGACATTTTCTGTATCGTACCTAACCTAACACAGTCTTCTGGAGGACGCTGCTTCGTGCCCCAACACAAGGCCAGAGTGCACTTACTTTTGCTGCAACCCAATAGATTGTTGACATCCAAATGACTTGCACTGGGAGCACAGGCATCACACTTTGAGCCAGTGACAAATCGTTTACAGAAACACTGGCCCGTGACTGAGTGACAGGTTTCATTCAAGGCTCCTGAGAGATGACAATTGCATGGCTGGCATCTGAAAACAAGACAAATACACTATCAAAGATAATAGTATTCTGATTAATAATTCATAGTGTTTTTAAGTTATGCCTGTCAATAACATTGCAGAGTAAGATGGTCTTGCATTACCCAACATACTAAAAAGAATGATCAAGCTAAACAAGCAAACATAAAATAAAGTTAAATGAAAACTTAAAAATATATATTATGCATAGCATCTTCTCTTTGTAAGCTAACTAATGGCAACTTGTATTATGTATATTATTTTGAATACTTCATTGTATTAAAAATACTGTAAATTTTGCTTCCTTAAAAATGTTGATGAGAGCAAATGTTTGGAGAATGATGAGGGTAACGAAAGTACAAATGTGCTTTATACAATTGATGTATGTATGGATTGTGATTAAGAGGTGCATGAGCCCCCAACAAAATGACTTAAAAACAAAACAACAACAAAAATGTCGATGAGGTACCCATAAAATTATCTTATCAGGAAATGATTTACCTTATAAGTAATCGGGATTGATAACCATTGTTCTCAATAAGAAATCATGAATTTTATATTTAGTCTTATAAAGGCTGTTTTTCTCAGAAGATAACGTATAGTTTAAGTTTGAGGAAAACATGTTCAAAAACTGTCAGTGCGTAGTATAGGTTGTATTTTCATTTTCTATGTTATGCACTAAACCATTTATTCACAATAGTTGAAGAATAGAGCATTACTCTGATTTATGAGAAGATGTTAATGATACAAATACTAGGATAATGAGATAACTTCACTCTGCCTTAAATTTATTGTACCCGAAGTTGCCTGTGAAACACCAGGGTCCTGGCATTTTGCCGAGATAGAAACTGAAAGCTGTGCCTTGGAGTGAATTATTCAAACACTTAGCCCATGGCAATGGCATTGATTAGGATAAGCAATGTTGGCACCATAACACATCAGAGTATCAAAAGCACTGCAAGTAAGAAGACCACTCACTTTTAAAAGGGGGCTTTCTCTATGGGGCATATTTTAAGCAACGTTAAGTGGGTTCACCTAGATTTTCCAATAAAGATGCTGGACGGATGCAGTTACTTTACCCCATATCGACTTCTACTGTGTGATCTCTTGGGTAATCATTCAACACCCTTAAAAAGGCCGATAAAAGCCAAGGCTACCAAATAAGCTGCAAATTTGCTTTATGGACTAATATCCCTGTGGGAATAAATACAGTTTCTCTTGAAAACCAGTGTGCTATAGTTTGCCCTTTTGGTCACGATTAAAAGGACACCCTACCTCCATAAACAATTATATTCAATCCTTCACCTATAAACATTGTATCAGAAGTTGATTTCAAATAGACATTTGGTTTAGACTACTTAAGTGTTAGAGCTGACATAAATCATGCATTGGAATTAAAACAATTATAGAAGCAACACAATATTTGCTTTGCTCTTAATGCCAGTATATACTATTGTATAAAACATATTATTTGTAATCTTTTAATGTAATATTGGTGAACATAAGCAATACTCACATACACATATATAACGTGTACACACACACACACACATATATATACACATATATACCTCACATGAATCATCTCCCCTGAGTGTCTCAGTTATTACCATTCACTTAGGACACAATCACATTTATTTTACAGACAGTGCATGTAGAGCCCTAGCTCCCAGCATGTAACGTAGTTCTTTTCTAGATGTACTTCTTTTTCTTCCAGCCTATTGTTACAGGCAAAACTCCAAGTCAGCTCTGGCAATATTTATTGGATATTAAATGACAAATCCAAATGGAATTAATAAATAATTCTTATAAAAGCTTATCATGATTTGAGTAATTTAATGTGATTATGCCTGATTTTAATCTTTGGACAACTAACCTCAAGGTCAGTGGTTCAAAATCACAAGGTCATTTGCTCCCATAAAAAACGTGTAGCTTGTAAGCCATACAGAGGGTCAGCTCGAGTGGGAATCCGGACAGCAGGGATTCTGAGCTTCTATCCTGGTTCCATAGTGTCCTAGCCCAGCCTTTGTTATAGCCAACTTAGCTGACTTGTTATATATAATTGCTTAACTTCAGTAAGAGAGTTTGACCTACATGGAGTTCATAGGAGAAGACTTTTCAGAATGATGTAGTTTGTTTCTAGCCCAAAGGACGCTGGGGGATAATTTTGTAATTAAAGTTTAAGTAAAATTATTCTTGTAAATTTCTCAGCCACTCAAATGTAATTTTAAACATTTCCAAGACTCTTTAGCAAATAAGCCATAAGTTGGATGTCATTTTATAAGTGATCCCTCCTCAAGAGCACCTCCTAAATGAAGTATATTTCACGTTTATTAAAACAAAATTATACATGATAAGGGAAAAGACATTTTAAGCACAGGAAGGGAACCACCAAACTAAGATGAATTGTGATATTGATTTTGCCAGGATAAATGGTTTTTGTAATATTAATATAAAGAAACCTTTATTACACTGACTCTCCAGGTACAGCCAGAGCTTCTTCCACAATCTGTTTAAAATCTTCATTTTTCATCCTTATGGGAAAACCTCACTTGCTAAATGGATTTCATAAAGAGCAATCTGTCAAGATTTATATAGATAAACAATCTGCGATGTTTATTGACCAGTTCATTATGGTAAACAAAACAGGAGAAAAGCACTGCGGATCCCTGCCAGCACTCTCCTTATAACTCTGTCTGGGCCCTTATGTGATTCAGTGTTTACTGGATATAATAGGAAGGAAGTTAATTGGCCTCTGTCTTTTAAATCACAAATCTCATATATTTTCCTTCCCAGGGAGTTTATTCCAATTGTACAAGCAGTAGGAGGAAGAGTTATCCTATTTGCCATTTTTGCAGAAACCTCACAACAAGTATTAATGAAGAAAATATGTTTCAGTAATGTGTTACATTGTCAGAAACTGCATCATATGAAGGAAAGATACCACAGGAGGTCCAGGGATGTGTTCTAGGATGTAAATCACTTCACGGTCACTTTCTTTCGATGCTCTTCTACCTGGGGCCTCAAATCATGGGTGTTTCCAAACTGGTTAAAATATTGGTTGAGATAAGTAACATTCGTTGAATATGATGTGCCAAGATTGGAATAAGCAAGAATTATATACATAAAGATGAATATGACTGACTTATCCTTGTCCTCAGGGAGCTCATAGTCTAGTGTGAAAGGAAAGGACGTGAAAGGATCATTAAAACATTTCATATGAGTTGTTGTTGTTAGGGCTAGTGAGACAGTTCCTATCTAGAGCGACCTTATGCACAACAGAACAAAACACTGTCTGGTTCGATGCCATCCTCACAATGTTTCTGTGTTTGAACCCATCGTTGCAATCATGGTGTTGATCCATCTCCTTGAGGGCCTTCCTCTTGTTTGCTGTCCCTCTACTTTACCAAACATGTGGTCCTCCAGGGACTGGTCTCTTGTGACAACAGGTCCAAGTATATAAGAGGAAGTCTCATAATCCTTGCCTCTAAGGAGCAACCCTGGCTCTATTTCTTCCAAGACAGTTCAGTTTGAACTTTTAGCAGTCTGTGGTACTTTCGATATTCTTATCCAACACCACAATCAAATGCATTTATCCAACTTTCACAGGCATATGAGGAAATTGAAAATACTAAGGCTGTGGTCAAGCACACCTTAGTCCTCAAAGTAACATCCTTTCTTTTCAATACTCTAAAGAAGTCTTGTGTAATGATTACCCAATGCAATGTATCTTTTGATCTCTTGACTGCTGCTTCAATGACCATTGATTTTGGATCCAAGCAAGTCAATGATCCTAGGCAATTTTAAACTTTTCTCCATTTATTATAGATGCTGCCAATTGGTGGTCTTTTTAAAACTGATTGTAATCCTAAAGGCTGCAATCCTTGATCTTCATCAGCAAGTGCTTTAAGTCTTCCTTGGTTTCAGCAAGCAAGTTTTGGCACCTGTATATCTTGAGGTGTTAACAAGCCTTCCTCCAATCCTGATGCCATACTTTTCTTCATATCAGCCAGCTTCCATGATTACATGTTCAGTCCACAGACTGGATAAGCATGGTGAAAAGAGACCAAGTGTGAGGAGAATAAGTGTGAGTCAGTGTGGTGAGAGTAGAGCACTGGTAATGCAGCAGCAGAATATAAGGGGGCACAGAAAAAAAGGCAGTTACATAGTCTTGTGGCAGGGGATGGGATAGGGAAAAGTAGGATCAAGAAATAATTCTTGGAGAAGATTCTGGAGCTAATATGAAAGATGATGAGGCATAGACAGGGTTCTAAATTGGCAAATAGCATCAGCTGCCTATTTATATGGATGGAACTAAAATATACATGGCTCTGGGTGGTGAGATCAACTAACTGTCATGGTAGTTGGTCTTTTAAGTTACTAATAATGTGACAAATAAGAATGTGACAAATTAGGGCAATGGTAAAGAGCAATGGGGGAGAGGGAGGGAGAAAAGAAATAAACCTTTGCAATGCTTGGTAAATTAAATTGGTGGGATGTGGTGACAGATTGAGAAGGGATGAGAAGAGCATGGAGCTATGCCCCGTTTTCTAATTTGGTGACTAGCGGATGACCATGACACTACTGAACATGAAGAGCGATGAAGGAAAAGTAATATCAAATTGGTGAGGGAGGTTAGACAAGTATTATTAATGATTCCTGATGAGCAGACTAGAATGAGGGTACAAGGCAAAGTGAGTAAATTGGACCAAGCATTTTCTTCCTATGTCCCTAGCACAAAGTGAGTGCACAGAAAGTGTTCGATGAATATTACTGAACCAATGAGCGAATAAAGAACTGGGAAATAAATAGGACATCCCACATTAACCCAACTGTCACACAGCTCTGCTACAACTTAGCTCCTTTGAGCCCTTTTGGACTGGTGGAGCATTGTCCTCTCTGACCAACCTCACCTGCAAAGAATGGACAGCTTTCAAGGACTGACCTCTGGTCCTACTTCCAATGGCTTGAAGTTTTAAACCCAGGGCTCTGGAGAAAAATTAAATGGGCCT